AAGAAAGAAAGAAAGAAAGAAAGAAAGAAAGAAAGAAAGAAAGAAGAAAGAAAGAAAGAAAGAAGAAGAAAGGGAGGGGAGGCAGGCAGGCAGGCTGCTCTGTAGGTATTCTGATGGAAGAGAATTTCCCTATGGAAATTCTAGGTTGGCCCAGAACTATGAACACAGGTACTGAGAAATTGCACTGCAAGGAAACCCCATCTGGGGCTCAGGAGGAGACCCCAACAGCAATGGAGGTACTCACCATTGACACAGAGACTGTCCCTGTCCAGGGTGTAAGGGCCCAGCTGAGTGACACCACGGGTCTGCTGGCTTAGCTCCCAGGATAGCCCCTCTCTGTCCAGCCTGAAGCCTGTGGGATCTGGGCGGTAGGCGCAGACCGCGTCCATTCTGGTGCTTGTTCCATCCTTTTCAGCCCTGGGGAAGGAGGGACATGGGAATAGGGATGTGCAGAGACACTTGGGAGCTGACCACTCCTGATGACTCCTTCCTTCAATCGTACCCCTTGGTGTTTATGTTAGTAGTCTTCTCAGGGTTTCACCTGCTGTCTCAAACACATCTTTTTCTGTCTGATATGGGGGATCCAGACCATCCCACCTTAAGTGTTCTCCAGGGCTATTCTGCACCTAATTTTCTTCTTTTGCTCCCCAATCTTTTTATTAATTGGTTCATACTCATTGTTTCAACTACCAGCGCCCAGTACAGTCCATGTCCATTCAAGAAGGTAAGTACAGATGGCATCCCCTCCAGTAGCTGAGTCCTGCTTGGGTTGTAAGATAGGGGGTATGGAGCTCCTGGGAGGAAATGAGAATCCTGAGCCCAGGCAGCATGTGGAAGGGAACAGCAAAGGACTGAAGACCCTGGAGGAGGTGAGTGAGTCACCCCTGTGGCTGGTTGTAACATTGTGCGACAACCATCATGGAGCCTGAAGGGAAGACTTTGTTTCATGTTGGTGAATCCCAAGGTTGAGGTCAATTCCATGGGAGCACCTTTGGAGCAGGTAACCAAGTTTGGAGAAAAACAGAGAAAATGAATTAAGAGGTGATAAGGGCCAATGCGGTTCAAAAATACTTTTGTCCTGAATTTCAGCTGAACCTACAGTGATTCACCGAGAGCAGGGGCTTTACAGGAAGAAAGATCCCCTCCCTCCCCTGCCTGGGAATTCTTGCTATTATCCACACAATTCAAAGCATGGTTCTCAAAGTGAGGCCCAGGGACTCCTGGTAGTCATAAACTCTTACAGAGAGTCCACCAAGTAAGATTATTTTCATTATTTTAACTTTTGTTCTCTTAGGAGTATACTGTGAAATGTTTTCCAGAGGCCACAACATGAAATACTGTAAAAGATTAAATGCAGAAGCAGATATCCTACTGTCTTCTCCTAAACCAGACACTAAAAATATCTGCAAAAATGTAAACAATGGCTCTCTTCTTGTTATGCTTTTTTTGAGGGGAGGGAGAGGAAGTATTGCTATTGTTCATAAAAATTATATTATTTGTGTTAACATGTAATAGATTTATTACTTTTAATAAATTAATGAATACATATTTATAATATTTGTTTTAATTTCTAATTCAATAAATAGGGGCAGATATAACCCTCAAGTCCAAAGGCTCACTGGAGTTTTGAGGACTTTTAAGGATGCAAGTACATGTTGAGCCCAGTGACGTTGAGCACTGTTGTATCATGGTTAAAAGGAGGGACTCAAAAACTAGAACCTTTGGGTTCAAATCCTAGCTCCTCTCAAGGAACTTGACTACTCTGAGCCTAGTGTTCTCTTCTACAATGTGGGATAATAATCATGCTGTTGTAAAGATGAAATGAGTGAAAACACGTACATCACTTAGATTTTTGGGTGGCATATCATATGGTCAATATTACCTTACTGATTCTCCCCACCTCATGGGGAGATGGGGGCAGGTGGGTGGAGCTCATTTAGGACGGTTTTGGTCTACAACACTCCAGGAACCTCTTCTCGTAAAGCCATGTGAGTAGAGGACCCACCTCTCTGGCAGGATGACCTGCATTGGCTGGATGCAGGACCCCAAAAAGAAGTCATAGAGTCGTGAAATGTAAGGAAAGGGTTCTGAGCCCACTGACCTCAGACAACACCAAACGGGCATAGCAGAGAGGAGAAAACAGGCCACTTCTGTAGAGTTCAGGTCTATTTGTGAGTTTTTAAATTGCAATATATCCTGCCAGTATTCAGCATTTGGTTTGTTTTCCCCTGTGGTTCTATGTAACATCCTCTGGGAAGGTCCCTATCTCTTTTCAAGGAATATACTGCAGCACTGCGGTGTCCAGAGTTTGTCCCCAATAGGGTAGATATGAGCTGGGGCAGGGAGAGTGTCAGGGATTCTGGGGACACAACTGGCAAAGATACTACACTGGCTAATACTATGAGATCCCATCGAGTGTTCACAATGGGCCAGGCATTGCAATTAGTGATTAATAACCCCATTAGTAAGGTACTAGTATTATCACTACTTTGTAGATAATGTTATTGAAGAACAGAGAGGTTATGTAACGTGTCCAAGATCACAGAGCTTGCAAATGGGAGAGCAAGGGTTCAAACCCAGATGCTTCGGATCCACTATGATATGCTGCCTCTTGGCAAAGACCCAAGGCTGTGGTTGACTGGGATGTGGGACACCAAGAAGGGAGAGAATTGGGGTTCTGTAGGTGCTTTGGAAGAAGCCTTACCTGAGCAAGGTCAGACTGCAGCCAGCATAGAGTGAACCAATGCTGCTGTTTTTGAACAGAGTCCCGAGCTGAGAACAAATGAGAGGGTGATGAGCTGGAGGGGTCAAGACTTTGGGGTGTGGCAGGCTTGGGACAAGGTGAGCATTGGCAGGGGGCTCTCACCAGGTGCTGCAGGTTTCTCTCAGTGGCACTGAATATCTCAGAGCTCGAGTTTTCCATGTCCTCTGTGTAGTGCAGGTTGGTGATGGTGAAGTTGACAGTAAAAGGCATCAAGAAAGGAACTGCAGCTGTGGTAGTAGGAAGAGTAAATGAGCCCAGTCCTGGGTCAGGCCTTGGCTGGGGGTGGGAAGGAAGGCTCCAAGGACACACCTTAACTCCAGCGCCAAGCTGGGGTTTGGCCTAGACTGGCCTGCTGTTCAAGACCCTCCCACATAGGGTGACCAACCATCCCAGTTTTCCCAGGACTGTGTGAGTTCCTGGAATGCAGATGTCCAGTTGGAAAAGTGAGACAGTCTTGGGAAAACTGGGATGAGTTAGTCACCCTACTCCTACTTTCCCTTGGCTCTTACCATTTCAGCACATAGTAGCACCTGCATCTCTTCATCTTGGAGAAATGAACAGGCCCAGGGAGCACCCCACTAGCAATGACTGATGGGAGTTGGTGGATAGATACCCCAGCTCCCTTACTGCCCCCTGCAGAGAGGATGACTCCAAAGTTCATGTTCTACGCATTCTCCCAGGGTCCACTCCAGCCTCCAGAACTGATAAATTTCTATTGTTCAAGGCACCCAGTATTTGGTACTTCATTACTGCTGCCCTAACGAACTAGTACATCACCTGACTGAGCAATTCTTTCTCTAGGTATGTACCCCAAAGAATAGGAAACAGGGACTCAAACAGATTCATGTACACCCACATTCATAGTAGCATTATCCACAGTAGCCAAAAGGTGGAAACAGCCTGAGTGTCCATCAACAGATGAGCAGACAAGATAAAATGTGGTCCATCCATACAATGGAATGTCAGTCATCCATAAACAGGAATGAAGTTCTGATACACACTATGACATGTAGACATTGCACTCAGTGCAATAAGCCACACACACACACACACACACACACACAGTGTGATTCCACATACATGAGATATCTAAAATCGGCAAATTGAAGACAGAAGTGGATTAGAATTACCAGGGGCTGAGCTGAGTGGGGAAGGAAAGCTAATGTCTAATGGGTACACAGATCCTGTTTGGAGTGATAAAAAGTTTTGGAGAAAGATAGGATAATATTTCTATAACACTGTGAATGTAATTAATGCCACTGAATTGTACATTTAGAATGGCTAATTTTATAGTATATATACATTTTTACCACAATAAAAAAAAGTCATTCTTACTTGTTTCTGAAGCCACACTCAGAGAGGTCAAGGTGGACATCCCAGGTGAGGTCTCAGGGACAAAGGGACTTCCTGCTGATGTATTGAAGGTGGTTGTGGTCTCTACTATGATGGGGCCTGAACCTGTAGCAGCTAAATTAGTGGTCTCAAGAGTTGTGGTTTTCAGGACAGTTGTTGTACTCAGTCCTTCTCTGTGACTGGTTTTAGGTGGTGTTGGGGTCTCTGATGCTATCAAGGTCACAGTGTTCCCCATCACAGTCTTGGACAATTCAGGGAGTCCAACTGAGGTCACAGGTGGTGAGGGTTCCGTGCCCCAGGAAGTTAAGGTGTAAGGCTCACCAGTGGTTGCAGGGGTACTGACAGGCCCAAGATCACCAGCAGTCAAAGTTGGGATACCTGTGCTGGCATCTGATGCAGGGCTGGTGGCCAGTAAGCCTGTGGTCGCCAATAAAACGGGGGAAAGAGTTGAACTTGAAATCGTTGTGATGTCTGTGCCAGGATGGGTGGAGAGTGAGGCTGTTTCCACAGGAACGCCAAGTGAGATAGTTGGACCTAGATCAACTCTGCTGGTCTCAGTCGCAGGTGTGGTGAAGGATGTTATTTTTGCTGGACTGAGGGAAACAGTCTGAGCTGGAAGAGCTTCACTAATCTCCAACTCAGGTTGGATGGATGGTGAGGCTATGGTCTCTGGTAAATGAGGAAAAGCAGTTGAACCAGGAAAATTTGCGCCTGTCTTTGCATTGGACTGGGGGACCAATAAGGCTGTGGTTGCTGGTTCACCAGGAGAAAGAGTTAGACTTGGAATAGTCATATTGGCATCTGTCTCAGAAGTAGGGACCTGGAAGGTCACCATATCGGGTACACCAGGGGAGATAGTCGGAGTTGGAACAGCTGAACTGGCTTCTGCCCCAAGACTGGTGCCTACTGAGTGTTTGGTGTCTGGTTCACTTTTGGAAAAAACTGGAGGTGTTGTGGGGACAGTTGGGCTGGTCTCTGCAGAAGGGATGACCAATGAGACTGCTATATCTGGCTTATGTGGGGAATCAGTCTGAGTTGGAATAGCTGAACTGGCTTCTGCCCCACAGCTGGTGGTCATTGAGGGTGTGGTATATGATTCACTATGGAAAACACTGGGAGTTGTTCGGGGAACTGTTGGGCTGGTCTCTGCAGGATGGGTGACCAAAAAGACTGGTGTATCTAGCTCCCCAGGGGAATCAGTCTGAGTTGGAACAGCTGAACGGGCTTCTATCCCAGAATGGGTGACCCATGAAGCTGTGGTCTCCAGTTGACCTGGAGAAACAGTGAGAGTTGTAAGAGTTGTACTGGTCTCTGCCCCAGAACTTGTGACCAGTGAGATTTCCACCCCTGATACACCAGGGGAGACAGTCACAGTTGGAATGGCTGAAATTGTCTGTGCCCCAGAACTGGTAGCTATTGAATGTATGGTATCTGATTCACTATGGGAAAAACTGGGGGTTGCCTTGGGAATAGTTGGGCTGGTCTCTGCAGGATGGGTGACCAATGAGACTGCTGTATCTGGCTCCCCAGGGGAAATAGGCAGAGCTGAAACAGCTGAACTGGATTCTTTCTCAGAATGGGTGACCCATGAGGCTGTGGTCTCCAGTTGACCTGGAGAAACAGTGAGAGTTGTAAGAATTGTACTGGCTTCTGCCCCAGAACTGGTGACCATTGAGGTCACCAGCTTTGGCACAGTAGAGGAGACAGTTGGAGCTGGAATGTCTGAACTGGTCTGTACCCCAGAATGAGTGACCATTGTGGCTGTGGTCACTGACTCACCAAGAGAAAGAGTCAGAGTTGGAATAGCCATACTGTCATCTTTCTCAGAACTGGTGACCAGTGAGATTTCCACCCCTGATACACCAGGGGAGACAGTCGCAGTTGGAATGGCTGAAATTGTCTGTGCCCCAGAACTGGTAGCTATTGAATGTGTGGTATCTGATTCACTATGGGAAAATCTGGGGGTTGCCTTGGGAATAGTGGGGCTGGTCTCTGCAGGATGGGTGACCAATGAGACTGCTGTATCTGGCTCCCCAGGGGAAATAAGCAAAGTTGAAACAGCTGAACTGGCTTCTTTCTCAGAATGGGTGACCCATGAGGCTGTGGTCTCCAGTTCATGCAGCGAATCAGTCAGAGTTGTAAAAGTTGTATTGGTTTCTGCCTCAGAACTGGTAACCAGTAAGGTCACCAATCCTGGCACACCAGGTAAGATAGTTGTAGCTGAAGGTGAACTGCTTTCTGCCCCTGGTGTGGTGGCTGTTGAGAGTGAGATATCGGATTCACTATAGGAGAAATTTGGAGTTATTCTGGAAACAGGTGTGCTGGTCTTTGCGGAATGGGTGACCCATAAGGTTGTTGTTTCTGAATCATGCGAGGAATCAGTAAGAGTTAGAAAAGTTGCACTGGTCTCTGCCCCAGAACTAGTGACCACTGAGGTCCCCACCCCTAATATACCAGGGGAGACAGTCGGAGTTGGGATGGAAGAACTGGTCTGTGCTCCATAATGATTAACCCATGAGACTGTGTTTGCTGGTTCACCAGGAGAAAGAGTCAGAGGTGAAATAACCATACTGGCATCTGTCTCAGAACTAGTGGCCTGTGAAGTCACCATATCTGCTACACCAGGGGAGATAGGTGTAGTTGGAACAGCTGAACTGGCTTCTGTCTCAAGGCTGGCGGCTGTTGAGGGTGTGCTGTCTGATTCACTATGGGAAACATTGGGCGTTGTCCAGGGAACTGTTGGGCTGGTCTCTGCAGGATGGGTGACCAAGGAGACTGTTGTATCTGATTCATGCAGGGATTCAGTCAGAGTCAAAGAGGTTGTACTGGCATCTGTCTCAGAACTAGTGGCCTGTGAGGTCATCATAGCTGGTACACCAGGTGAGACAGTGATTGTTGGAGTGGCTGAACTGGCTTCTGCCCCAGGAGTGGTGGCCATTGAGAGTGCGGTGTCTAATTCACTTTGGGCAAAATTTGGAGTTATTCTGGAAACAGGTGTGCTGTTCTCTCTGGAATGAGCCCATGAGGCTGTTGTATTTGGCTCACCAGGGGAAACAGTCAAAGTTCCAACAGTGGAAATGGCTTCTGTTCCAGCATGGGTGACCCATGAGGCTGTTGTCTCTGGTTCTTGTGGGGAATCAGTCAGAGTTGTAAATGCTGTACTGGCCTCTGCCCCAGAATTGGTGACTGGTGAGATTTTCACCCCTATTACACCAGGGGAGACAGTTGGAGTTGGAATGGCTGAACTGGTCTGTGCCTCAGGATGGGTAACCAATGAGACTGTTGTATTTGGCTCACCAGGAGATACAGTCAGAGTTTGATCAGCTGGGCTGGTCTCTGCTCCAGAACTAGCATCCAGTGAAGTCATCAACCCTGGCTCACCAGGGAAGTCATTTTGAGTTGGAATGGATGAACTGCTCTGTGCCCCAGGATGGGTGACCCATGAGGCAGAGGTCTCTGGTGCATCTTGGGAATCAGTCAGATTTGAAAGGACCATACTTGTCTCTGCCGCAGGACTAGTTACCAGGGCGGTCACCATTTCTGGTACACCAGGGAAGACAGTCAGAGTTGGAACAGCTGAACTGACTTCTTCCCCAGAACCGGTAGCTATTGGGGGGGTGTTATCTGATTCACTGTGGGAAACATTCAGGGTTTCCCTGGAAACAGTTGAACTGGTTTCTGCAGGATAAGTGACCCATGAGATTGTGGTCTCTGGCTCACTAAAAGAAACAGTCAGAGTTGGAACAGCTGGACTGTTCTTTGCCCCAGAACTAGGGACTAGTGAGGGTGTGGTTTCTGACTCTCTACTGAAAACAGATGAGGCTGTCCTGGGAAGTTCTGTGCTGGTCTCTGCTCCAGGTCTTGTGGCCAATGAGGCTGTCATCTCTAGAACATCAGGGGAAACATCTGGGGTTGTAATGATCATTCCTCTTGTGCCGGCTGTTTTACCTGATGTCCTGAGGAGAGTCAGCATTCTGGAAGTGGGAGTAGAGACTGTAGTGGTCAAAGGTGGTGTAGAAGTGGTCTTCAGAGCTGCGATCTCTGCTTTTTCTGTCCACTCTGTTGGTGGTCCTGTGAATTGGGGGATGGACACACAGTTTGGACAAAATGATCACCGCTTACCGGACTGGCAATAGCTTATTTTTTCTCCACACGAGGAAAGGGAGAGAGAGAAATGTCTCTGCCTGAGATATGCCTGCAATGCTTCTGGAATGGGAAAAGGAATTGTCATTGACATTCCAGCACCTTCCCCTTCTCATCTTGTGCTGTAACTCCGTGAATTCTTAACCACTCCCTGTTCCCAAATGTTGTCTGTATGCTCCAGCCCCTAAGCCTTTGTTCAAGCTGTTTTCTCTGTCTGCCTTGTCCATCTTTCATCAGATTCCTCATATTCTGCCCTTCTTCAAACCCCAACTCAAATCAGCTTTTACAAATCCATGTCAGAATTCATCTCTCCCGTCTCAATATTTCCTTATCCTACTGTCTGAATCTGCACCATAGGGGCGCCTGGGTGGCTCAGTTGTTAAGCGTCTGGCTTCGGCTCAGGTCATGATCCCAGGGTCCTGGGATCGAGTCCCACATCAGGCTCCTTGCTCAGTGAGGAGCCTGCTTCTCTCTCTCCTTCTGCTGCTCCCCCTGCTTGTGCTCTCTCTCTCTCTGACATATAAATAAATAAAAATCTTTAAAAAAAAATGAATCTGCACCATAGCACTCCTCACAGTCTGCTTGGTAATAGCTATTAATAGCCAGAAGACTGCTTCGTGTATAGTAGGTGCCCACAAATATTTGTTGAGTAAGTGACTGAGTGAATGAATGAATGGATACATAGATGGATGTATGCAGAGACAGGTCTCCTCTGGATTGAGAGAGATTATGTGTCATTGTGCTTAAGAGCTTGGGCTCTGGGGGTGCCTGGGTGGCTCAGTTGGTTAAGCGACTGCCTTCAGCTCAGGTCATGATCACAGGGTCCTGGGATCGGGCCCCATGTTGGGCTCCCTGCTCTGCGGGGAGCCTGCCATTCCCCCTTCTTGTCTCTCTGTCTCTCTTTCTGTCAAATAAATAAACAAAATCTTAAAAAAAAAAAACAAAAAAACAAAAAAAGAGCTTGGGTCTGGAAGAAGGTATTCCTGAACTTAGATTCTGGCTCTTCCACTAACTGGATGTGTTACCAAATCTTGCTAGATTTCCATATTTTCATCTGTGAAGTAGGTGTAAGTACAGTGGCCATCTCAGAATGCTGATAAAAATGCACCCAGCCCGGTGCCTCCTGGCTCACAATACTACCACTGCTACTCCTACTACTACCTGCTGTTACTAGCATTACTACTGTTACTGCTACTACCTACCATTACTACTGTTACTGCTACTACCTACCATTACTGCTGTTACTGCTATTACCACCTATTAGCATTGTTACTACAACTGTTACTACCTACCATTACTGCTGTTACTGCTATTACCACCTATTGGCATTGTTACTACTACTGTTACTACCTACCATTACTGCTGTTACTGCTATTACCACCTACTGGCATTGTTACTACTACTGTTACTACTGCTACTTTTACCTACTATTACTGGAGTTATTCCTACTGTTTCTACTACTACTACTTTTTGTATTTCCACTACAAAATAAGTGTTTGCTGAGTCGGATTTGCCAGGAACCATGTCCCGAAGGTGACCCGAATTCAGACACTGAAGACAAGTTAAGTCACATTGGCTGAGACAGCAGCTACTGACTGGGGCTTCAAAAAATGGTAAATAAAACACATTACCCTGTAAAATATATATTAAAAAAATAGTCCCCAGAAGGGAGGGAGAACCACCAGAAGGCTTCTCTATAAAGACCACAAAGCCTACATCAAAAACTAATGATGTAGTGTATGGTGACTAACATAACATAATAAAATTAAATTAAATTAAAAAAAAAAAGACCACAAAGCCCACTGGTACTTGATTCAGGGATAAAATAAAGGGGATTTAGACTCTGATGGGGGAGCGATATCCTTCTTTTGCTAAGATTATCCAAAACCCCCACATTTCTGAGAGTGGACATACCGAAATGCTTTATATGTATTTGGCAAAGATGATGAGGAGGGAGCAAAGAAGGAGGAAGAACATTTGTAAGCACCTACCATGCTTTATCTCTTTGATCCTCACCAGAACATTGAATGTACATCATATTATTCTTGTGGTTTCATAAAAGAGAAAGACAGAAACTCAGAGATCATCATCTAACAAGGTCACACAGCTACTGACTGCTAGTGTGGAAATCATAGGTTTAGCCTAATGCTAAACCAATGCTCTCCAGCACTGTAGTATATCATTCCCTAACTGAATTTCAGGATTTTGTGGGGGTCAGGATGAAAAGAGAAGGATGTAAGGAGAAAATGTCCATCTGGAGAGAAGGTTAAACAAAAGTTTCTTAGTTCAAGTTCTCAACCCGGGGTGATTTTACTCCCAGCGGATACTTGGCAATGTCGGGAGACATTTTTGTTCATCGCAACTGTGTGTATGTGTAGGGTGCTACTGGAATCTAGTGAGTAGAGGCCAAGGATGATATTAAATATCCTACAGTGCACAGGACAGCCCACAAGTAATTATTTGCCTGATAGAGCCAAAGTTGAGAAAGCCTGCTGTGTGTTGAAAGGAGTCAATGAATACTCTTAGCTCTTCCTCATAAGCTTTGCCATCTACATACTGGTGGCCACCTGAAACCCAGTGATTCATTTCCTGGTGAACTGATATAGCCAATCCTGTCAATGCCCTACTTATATCCCATATAGTGACCCAAGTGGGGTCCTGATGCAGCCCCTGTGACTCCACATCTAAGGGCTTTCACTTAGCCTGTGGCGGGGGCAGGGGATAGGTTGGAAGTGTTGAGGGTTATTACCCCAGGATCAAGCATCCTACAGCCAATGATAGAAGAGAATTGGACAACAAATGCCCCCATCTACTTAATTCCTCAGATAGGACAACACTGAGGTGTTCTTTTTTTTTAATTTTAAAAAAATATTTTATTTATTTATTTGAGAGAGAGAGCATGCACAGAGGGAGAGTTAGAGGGAGAAGCAGACTCCCCGCTGAGCGGAGAGTCCAATGTGAGGCTTGATCCCAGGACCCTGAGATCATGACCTGAGCTGAAGGCAGATGCTTAACCAACTGAGCCACCTAGGTGCCCAACACTGAGGTGTTCTATGCTGTCTCCCAGAGCTTCCCAGTGGGACTGACACTGTTGCTCACAGCTAGGGCTTGCTCATGAATGCAATTTGCATTGACTTCCTTTCCTTGTCTTCTCCAGTGCTTCCTGGGACCATCCCCCACCTGAGACAAACCATTTGCCCCATATCCTTAACAGAATAAGACTTATCACCTGATTGTAGGGGCAAGTCTGTCTAAAGCCTGCATCTTGCAGAAAGCCTCCAAAATGTATAATAGTCTGGGCTCCAAAAATCTTGGGAATAAATTAGTGGGTATGGGGAACTTTACCTTTTAACCACACAGTGAGGAGAACCCCTTGCTATATACACCCGCACCTCTTAAACTCTCAGGCAGAACAATCACACTGAGAAATGTTAGCAGGTGCCTTTTAGAGAGAAAGATTATTGCAGTTAAGTAATTGTGTAAAACTCTAGGTTGAATAAAGCTAAACAAATTTCTTTAGGTAGGACTTCTCAGAATCTTTAATATGCTTATGCATGTTATGATTCTTTAGGAAGGAACAACATGTTTGCCAAACTTCTTTTTTTTTGCCTCAAAATTCTTCATCCTTTTGTTAAAGGGTATCCAAGCATTACCAAGCCTTAGGAGGTTTCCTGAATGTTGTTTTCTGCCCGTGTCTCCAGTATCATTTCCTACCACCCCATCCTTCTACCTCATACTTTAGCAAAGGCAAATTATTTGTATCTCCCAAATATTTCCAGTTTTACCCTTGTCTGTGCCTTTGCATGTGGCTGTTTGTTCTCTCTATCCAGAATATCTTCATCAACTCCCTTTGTCTTTCTGGTAAATCCCTAGTCATCGTTTCAAACCCAATTCAAATATTATCTTCCTCATTGAGCCTTCCTTCTATGGTTCAAATATATCTTCATTGCATATGTTTAAAGTTGCATCATAGTTATTCTGTTCCTTTGTTACTTCCCTGCTGGTCTGAGAGCTTCATGGATACAGTGCCCAAGTATTTTCATCTGTACATCCTCCGCTTATAGCAGTCTCTAACACAGAGAAAGCGATTAATAAGCATTTTCAGAGTTAAGTTAAACTGGGTCATATTTGTGGAAATGACATATCTAACCTTGAACTAAACTCACTATGCATGTTACGAGGAAAAGAAAAGTGGTAACATCTGCCTGGTAACCATTAGACAAAGATCCAGCTAAGACAGGGAAGTCCATGGCCACCCCACATTATTCTTCCTCTAAAGAAACAAACATTTCATCTCTCTGGAAGAGGAAATAAGACCTCAAGTGAGATCACTGGGAAGTAAGCAAAGTTGAACCTACCTCTAGGACTAGCAGATGATGTGGGTGCCACAGGGACATGGACTGGTTCTGTGGCTCCTCCATGGGCTGCTTCATTGGGTATCTCTGTGATGTGCTCCACGATGCCATCAATCCCTGCAGGTGAGTGTGGAGAAGAAGCCTGGGTTAATTCATCTCACCCAGAAGGAGAGCACTGTCTAAATGGGTCCACTTAATTGACTATACAACTCAATTCTTTTCAAGTCCATCTGTATGGACTTGAGCCAGGGCTATGTGCCACGAATGGCCACCCCTATCCATTGACCCACTCATCCACCTGTAGATCTGTCCGTCTTTCCTCCCATCCATCCTTCCTTCTTTCTCTACATCCATCCTCCCTTCTACACATTTACCCTCTCTTCTTTCATTTATCTGTTTTTCCATTCTTCCTTTTATCCCTCCAACCATCCAACCACTCTTCTACCTTCTTACCATCCCACTCATCACTTGCTTACTGAACACCCATGACTCAACTACTGAGCCACATTTTAAGACATGGGTCAACACCTATCAATGTGTTTAATTTTATTGTGAATTGAGAAGTAACCAAGTCATCTTCCTATAGATAATGGCTAGCAAAGCAGGTGCTAAGGTAGTTAGAGGACTTCTTTGTACTTGTCTCCGAAACAAAAGTTGGGGGCAAGTTCAACTTTTCAGAGGAATGGAATCCCCAAGAGGTTCCCTCCCTCATCTATGGATCTCTTGGAGGTGGTGTGCCTCCTCCTAGGCCCCCAGTCCTTCCCACATCCCATAGGTACTTTGTTCCATCATTTTACTTTGCTCACCTTTTTCTTTCACTTTTCCCTTGCTTTTGACTCTGTCCTAAATATAAAAACACACTCAATTCAAAGAGGGATATCTCCCCTGTATCTATGTGTAATTAGGCTGTTGTTCTAGTTCTTTGCAACTTACTCATACTCCCTTCATTAGAGTCTCTGAGGGCCCACATGTTGTCAAAGGACTCACCCCACTTCAATGTGACAATCAGTAGCATTTGACAGAACTGACCATTTTTCTTCCTAAAACTCTCCCCTCCTATGTCTTCTGCAATGCCAGAATCTCTTGCTTTTTCTCCTCCCTCTCTGACCAATTAGCCTAATAACTAAGAGCATAGATTCCTAGTGCCACATACTCTGAATTCTTACCACTTATTAGCTTTATGAACTTGAGTAAATTACTCAATCCTCTGTTCTCAGTTTACTAATCTGTAAAATGGGCTTATAATCATCCTTTCTTCAAATTGTGTTTCAATAAGGATTAAATAACTTAATAGAACAGCACTTGACAGGGAATAAGTGCCCTAGAAAAAGTCTGTTGTCATTAGCATTATCATCAGCATAATCATAGTAATGTTAAAACATCTATCATGGTACTGGAATCATCTACTTACTTATTTGTCTTAGTTTCCCCAATGCCTAGTCTAATGCCTAGAACTGAGGATAGACCAACAAATGTTTGCTAAAAGAATTTCTGTGCAGTAATAAACTCCTAATTAACTCCTTTATGCCTCTCAGGAAAAGAGTCATTTCCTATGAGTCACTAATAATTGGAGTATAGGACCTTACTTGTCAACTGTGTTGATTGTGGAGGAAGTTGAGAAGAACTTGTCACTGTTCCCAAGTGAATATGCTCTGTCATTCTGGTATCCACAATGGTTGATAAAGATGTCCTGACTGGCTCAGTCCATGTCTCCAAAGTACTGACCACACCCAAGGGTCCTTCAGCAGTGCTCCTCTCTGCCCCAGTGTTGGTGCCCACCATACGTTGGGTAACCAGTGAGGAAGTAATTCCATGGGGGGCTGGACTGGTTGAAGAGTAAGCAGTAGGGAAGGTCGAAGAGGGGAATGGTATTGAAGCTGATGAAGGTAGACTCTCTGCAATGGTGGACATAGCATCTCCAGGGCCTTGTTCTGTTCTCAGAAATGAACTGGCTGAGAAGGTGGCTGAGCTGTCACCTGGAACTCCAGATGTAACTGTAGACAGAGAAGGCACCAATGTGTCAATTGAAATGGTCTCAGCTGAAGACAGCATTACTGTACTCAGGTAAGGAGTACTTTCTGATACAGACACGGAAACCTTGGATTCTGGGAAGGAGGTTACACCAGCAGACCCTGCAAAAGAAAAAGGGATAAGAGTGACAGAGAGATTTCCACCGAAATTTCAGCACACTGCCAAGACAAAGGCTGGTATGAAACTCATATTTTCACAGAAGACGTGATATCAGTCTTGGAATATTTCAAAACACGAGTGGACAGAGGAGATAAAGGTGGGCTTGTGGGAGTAGCTGAACTAGAGTCCAGGGATATGAATGTTTCCTGAAGTCTAGAAGAGAGATGCGAAAGTGGCCCTGTCTCAACGTTCTAGGGTCAAAGAAGACAGGTATTGGAGTGAAAATAGTGGTCTCCTCAATGGAACAGGAAGTATCCATTGGTTAAGAGGCTCTGCATGGAGCACAGTGAATGGGGACAGAGGAAGGTGCTTCATATCTACAAAGGCTATTCTGCACATTACTTACAAGCATATATGTGAAAAAATATTCATACTCTATTTATCTGCAGTAACATCAAACGTGGCCAGTGTTTCAATGCGGAGGTAAAATGATTTTGGGTTACAAGACTAAAACTGTGAAAAAACTGAACTTTACAGGGACAGAAATGAGAATTGAGGTCACAGGAATGGGAAAGGAAGTTTACTAACAGATACTATGAAGGAATCTAAGGAAAGTAAATTTGTGGAAGGGATCACTGCCAGAAAAACGAAGAGCAGAATTAGATCGGAGGAGCAAGATGGTGGAGGAGTAGGAGACCTAAATTTCGTCTGGTCCCAGGAATTCAGCTGAATAGGGATCAAACCATTCTGAACACCTACGAACTCAACAGGAGACCAAAGAAGAGAGTAGCAACAACTCTCTGAACAGAGAAGCGACCACTTCCTGGAAGGTAGGACTTGCGGAGAAGGGAATCCGAGGCGATACT